GAGCTCAGCCTGGTTAACTGATCCGAGCTCGGACCGGTCTCAGCATGGATCGGTTTTTTAAGGGTAGTGTAAATGGTGGTAAAGATTAAGTGATAACGAAGCTCTTTTACTAGGCCGCCCTCTCATTATTCCCTGTTTTCCCCTCAGTTTTTTAAATATGTCTTTCCGGAGGGGGTGGATACCGTCATCGTCAAAGTCAACTCAGACGTGAACTTCCCCTGCTCCGTCATGTCTGTTCAGGACATCCAGGTAGAGTTAAAGCTGTGTTGTTGTTTTTTTTAGCTACTTAGACACATATAGGCCACTAGAGGTGATCATAGAGGCACTTTATGAAGTTAACTTTAGTTTAATGCTGAAATTAAAAAGGGAAAATATTTTTATTTCTCTTTAAATTATTTTCTTTTATTTAGATTTTAAGTTTCACTCTGTTTTTTGCATGGTGTGTCTTAGTCTGAAATGAAGAAATCATTGTTTCTTCTTCTCTGCTTACAGTGCCCCGTCTATGACCTTGACAACAACGTGGCCTTTATTGGGATGTACCAGACTATGACCAAGAAGGGTGCCATCACTGTGCAGGTACCTTCTTTTTAACCTGGCAGAATTAGGTTAAATGCCCCATACCTCATAGCGCCTCTTTCTGTAACTCCAGAAGAAGGATTTCCCTAGCAACAGTTTCTACGTGGTGGTGGTGGTAAAAACTGAGGACGAGGCTTGTGGCGGCCCGCTGCGCTTCTACCCTCTGCGCCCCGATGAGCTGATTGACGCTGGAAACCGCACCAAGGACCTCGACGTGGTCGTCTCACCTGCAATTGATTGTAAGCTGTGTATAAACTGGACACCTGATCCATATCTTTTTACTGTTTGAAAAAATATCGAGTTTTTTGTATGTTTTTTTTCTCCCCAGCTGAGAAGTACTGGATGGGGGTGTTGTTTTGTAGCGGGATCTTCCTCTCGTTCTATGTGTTGACGCTGCTGGTCACCTGCGTGGAAAACAAGCGGTAATACTTCTCAGTATTTCCAGCTCCCAAAACAGCAGTTAGATGAAACTTGCTTGATGACTAGAGATCAAACACAGAGAATTACCTTTATGTTTCAGCTTCGATTTAAACCTCCTTTCACCCACCTATACCCAAATGGAAAAGCAAATAACTGAGGAACTCTAAGCCCAAATTACATGTGTGATACATCATTTGAAAGCTAACACCGTCTAGTTTCTGAAAATATAAAAAAAAATTGGGTAAGACGCAGCATAGGCTGCATCAGTTCAAACATGACTCAAAGTTGCAGTTTTTTTTTATTATTGAAAAAAGTAGGTCTTTTTTGAACAGCAGTAATAAAGACATGCTTAAGAATAGGCATGTCTTATTGTATTACATTTGTTCTACATCATGTCAAGCACAAATGCAGAAAATTTCAGGCCTCTAGCTACAACCATTCCAGAGCTTTGGGGCTTTGAACTTTTGGTGTCACCAGCATCTCCAAACCTCTCTAAATGTGCCAAATTGTGCCAAACGCTTTTACTCAAGTATTTGACCCATAGAATAACAATGAAGCATTTTGATGGCCACAGAACATTTATGAAGCAACTATTTTTCCACTTTTTTTAAGAATCAGTGTATATAACAAAATGTAGCATTTATAAACTTAAAATAATAGTGAAAAATAGTGAACTGCTGCTTTTCAAGCTAAAATAAGCCCCAGTGCCTTTTCTGAGCTATATTTTTGTTGTTGTTGTTTTTTTTTTCGGCCTTAGGCATTGTAATAAAACTAAATCAGTATCTAAACTTTAAAAATATTAGACCGTTGTTAGTATTCAGCTTGGACCTGCGTCCATTGATCCAGCCTCTGCAGTGTATTTCACTCTTACGCAGGCTGGTAACACAGCTCTGCTTTATGCACCCCAGCCATGCAAATCCAAACAGCAAACAGTAGAGTCCTGCTGTTAACCAATAACAGCAGGACTTTATGAGGCGTAATATCACTCTACTCTGTGCGTCATTGGTAAAAATATTACCGTTGTAATTTTCATGCATTCTGAGTTATTGGTTAGAAACGCTATAAAAGCGCTCGCTTTTATTAAGGTTAAAAATTGCAGCCGAAAGGTTGTATTTACCTCATTTTGAAGAGGTCATTTTATAGTAGCGGTACTAAGTGACGTTACTAAAAACTTTTCAAGGCTTAATTGGTGTCCTTGTCCCGGTGAGAGACAGTCGAGCAGAAAGTCAAACAGCTGTTCTATCTTGGTTTTCTTCACATTTTGCTATAATCTCATGTTAAACATGTTCCTACACATTTTTAAAAGAAAGGTTATTTGTTTTTATCTAATGCGCTCTTTTGGATGTTCATTCCTAGTGTTTATGTATACAGTAATCTTCGGTTTCAGGTGTCATGCAATCGATTAATCTTTTGACTGTACTTAATCAGATCATTTTTAAAGTGTAATCTATTTTTCTGTGAATACGCCCAGCTGGCTCTGTGTCATGAAATCAAATGAAAGTGAGTAGAGCTTAAATCATTGTTAATTTAGCATAAATATGGAATAAATCCACAATAACTTCTATTGAAAATATAAGGTTTTATTATCAAACTCCAGATCAAACATATTTTAGTTTGACATTTCTTGACTAACCTAGTGAAACTAAAATACAGGCAAATAAAAATGGTTGACACCATTATCAGCAAAGTTATGCAAAGGTATCTCAGCTTAGCATTAGTTTTATCTTTGGAAACGTATGTTTATGCTATAGTGTGAAATGGGTTGAATTGAGATTTTAAATAACAGTCAAACGTGTGCGTCTCAAATGTGAAACACAATACGAATACACATTGTGGATTAACCGATCTCGCCCAAGTGTTGTAAAAACACCAACATAAAACTATACAATATAGAGGCAGACAGGCAGTTCTTCAAGAATGA